CCACCTGCTTCTAGAGTGTGGAGCACAGCGTCCCACGGGGTGACTGTTCTCCCTGAACACGAACAACCACCAACAAACCCACAGTTTGCACAGGCGTGTTTCACTGAGGGGCAGTGTTTGCTTGAGACAAACAGCCAGTAGTCACAGGGCAAGAGTAATTCCCCTGAGCCTCGTGTAGATTCAGTTTATGCTGGAGTCTAGGCCCATGGGTCAGTCTGAGACACACATGTGTCTGCACCGAGACACATGACCCATGGCCACTTTATTCCTATTCTCAAATGCCAGTGACCAAACCTCCCACTTAGCTCAATTAAATCTGTAGCAGAGACTTGGTAGGGCTCAGCAAATGCAGCTCAGGCACCATGGCCCCAAGTATAAGCCAACCAGCCACTCAGAAAACAAGCCAGCCAGCACAGGCCACTTAGCCAGTCAAAGCAAGAGAAGAAAGACCCCCCAGGGATGGAGGTCATTGCCGAAGCACTGCTTATTGTGCCGATCATTGTGGTTATCCCAGACAAGAGGAAGCCCCCACCCCAAACTCGGTTCAGCTGTTGAGACTGGTGATAGAAGGCATGCACCAACCCGGTATGAAAAGGCTTATAACTCACGTAATGAGGCTCTGCAGGGGGAGCAATGAGGGTGCCTAAGCAGGTTCGAACATGGCTTGAGAACAGCAAAAGGAGACCAGCTTGGTTTCTATGGTGGTTCGGAGGTGGGGCTGGCGTGGTCTGAACTCCCCACTGGCCCCAAAGGTACTCAGGCTTTCGCATCAGCCTGTCCAGCGTGGGGCCGAGGAAGGGGAATGAATGGTGGGTTGTGGATGCTGTCAGCATCAAACATCGGAACAGGGAGGGAGACGATGACAAAACTATCGCGATGGCAAGACTCGTTTGACTTAGGCTTTTGCGGGGAAGCAATTTGGTTATTATTTCAGGATTATAAAGGGGCAGAAAATTCATTTCTGAGACAACTATCATCAAGGTTTCTCAGTAAGGAGATAGATTAAAATATGGGGAGGGGTGAAGTTTTAAACGACACCTTCTCCCTCCACTTTGGCCCCACTCAGGTCTCCAAGATTCTTATCTATACCCTGCCACCTTCATAAAGATAAAACCAAATTGAGCCGTGGCTACTGATAGGAATAAGCGATACAGCAGGAAAAGAAGAAACATTGGCATTATTCCATAAAGGAGGGGTCATGGACACATGATGCCCCCTCACTCGTGTGTGGTCTGAACTTCCTGCTGGTACCAACTTCTCACTTGTAATGTTGTACCTTTATTCATGATACTCCCTCTACATGCAAGGCCCTTCAGCCACCAGACCCTCTCCTCTGGAAGTAGGCTATTCTCAAACACTCAGCACGCCATTTCTATCTGGTACCGTTTATCTTCTTCGGCACGTTTCTGTTGTTTTTTACATACTTTATCTCTCCGGCCAGACCACAAGCTACCTGACTGCAGGACTCACAGTTAATTCATCTTTGCATTCATTACTCATATAATTACCACCAATAATAAGACACAGTCGATGTCTTATACATGTTTAATGAGCGAGTGAATTTTTAAATGAATGGAATCTCAGATCTTCATATTCTGTGAAGATACACAGTGGCATAACCAGGTAAACTGAGTAAGTCACCAAAAGAAACCCTTGGTTTTATCTGGGTAGGGAAGACATGCAGTTGGCCCATTCCCACGCTCACACAAGCTCTGTGTTTTCAGTCAGGATTTCAGGGAGTCACTAAATGACTTTCTTTGAGGGAACTAAACCATTTTTCCTCTCCAGTTTCCTATAACCCTTCTGCCACAAACATGTGGGTAACCCTGAGATACATTTACTATAAAAATATTTACCGCTACTGAAAGTTTATGAAATGTCCGGAAGTGTGCTGTTTTACACCCATGATTTCTTCAGAATAATGCAGTCAACAGTATGGTTTTCTTACTACCGAGGAGGCTGAGGCTGTGGGCAATGACCCAGTGGTTACCGAGTTAGTAAGTGGGGGGACCAGGACTAAACGCAGGACTGCAGTACATTTTGGATTTCTAATTGTGGACCTCTTTTTCCATTTTTGTTTTTGTTTCCTCTTCCTGTCTTCATGTTTTGTTTTGTTTTTTCTTTTCGGTGGTTACTGTATATAGTTCAGTGGGTGGGGGAAGTCTTCTTTACCCTGCTCATATTTTGAAGTTTCTTCCTCCAGAGAGTTGAAGATTTTAAGCTATCATATGTTTTATTGCCTCCCACATAACAGTGAGATTTATGGTTTATTTTAATGTTTGTAATTGTTTGAGTTAATGGATGTTGACCTGGAGGGAAAAAAATCCTTTTAAGCTAGTCCCTAGCTATCTACAGAAATAGCTAGACATGCATGTTTCTATGTTTAAATATATCTATCTCGACTCCGTTTAACCTCTCAAAAATAGTCTAAATACTTGAATGAAATAATACTTGAGGTTTTATGGGCGGCCTTCCTGCAGGGATACGTTGCTGTGAATGAGTTTTGCCTCTGCCCCTCCATCAACCCCTCTTCCTCCAACAGCCTTTAAATGAAGCAGCCAGGCAGTGCTGTGGCATCACCAATGCAAATCCGAAATGCCCCCCAGGGTCGACTTGAAAAATCTGCACCAGTTCATCAGGAGGAGGAACTCACATTTTCTGAATGAGATACTTTTACTTATACGATCCCATTCTCTCTTCATCCTTGCCAACAACCCTTTAAAACATAAGCTATCACTTCATCTTACCAGGTGAGGACACTAGCTCTGCAGAGCGACAACAGCTGGTCATTGACCTAAGGTCACATTACATGGGGTCAAGTGAGCAGCTGAATGGAGGTGAGGCTGATTACCCAGTGCAGTGTCTTTCTACTCTAATGTAAACACGATCAAGTCAGAGCAAGAATTGTGCAAAAACATTGGGGGAAAACTCAACCACAATTCTAGCTGATTAAGAAATTCATAAAAATCAGAGCCAGAAGGGATTTTATTGATCTAGTCCAACCTCCTTCTTTTATAGAGAAACAGATGCAGATGTATGGTGACCACCTGAGGCCACACAGCTAGTTAAGAGGCAGAGCTGGGGTTCAGACCCAGACCAAGTCCAGTGACTTACCCACTAGAATATATCGTCAGTCTCCGAACCGCCTCACTGACTTCGGACTTGGCCAGGGTACCATGAATATTCATGATATTGACAAAATAAAGCTGCAGGTCTGGAGTCTTCAGTGGGTATTTTGCTAAATAGCCTCCTACCTCATCACTGCCATGCTTGTAAAATTCGACTAGGCATCTCCTTTTCATATCTGTAATCTATCTGGAGATGCCTTGAGGGGCTACACGTCCTGAGTGCAAATCAGCAGCCGGGTGGGGTGCAAGGTGGAGCCCTCAGCTGCACACCAGGCTTTGCCTTCGATTTCCCTCCTGCAGAGCTGGGTAACACTTCACTTTTCAGGAGGCATAAATTAGTACTAGATTAAAAGCAGCACTATTTAAGCATTACTCGCCCTACCCACAGGAACGCTGCAAGACTTCAGCCACATTTATCCCATTGATTGGAATAATGAGCGCCCCCGTGGGCTACCTCCCGCCGGATGATGCATTGGCATTGCCCTCCGTCTCTCAGTCACTGCCTGTACCAGGCCTTTGGGGAAGTCTAGGACAATGAAACACTAGATTTCAAATACTTCAGGCAGGAGAGACTGTGAAATCATCGATGAGAAAGTACACACAGTAATAATATCATTTATCATTAAATTACTCTTTCCTGAAACCTGGCACAGTGCCTGGTTCACAGTAGGTACTCAATAAATACTGAATGAATCATTGCTCCAAAACCTTAAATTCTATATAATTACTCAATGATTAAGGGAAGCCGGGCCTTAACCAACCTGTAAGTCATTCGCCTTCCGTTTGTTTATATAGCTTATAAAAGGGCTTGCCTGAGAATAGGTACCCGTTGTAAGGGGCTGTGTTAGAAAGACTCAGGTTACTGGAGGACCAGCACCATCAAGTCCTTGGGGGGCTGGTTCTGTACACGTGTGCGGGGGAATAAGATTCGGATTATTTCTACATACTGGTGATTTTGGCCACTGACCTGGTAGATGCTTAGTGCTCCCAAAGAATGCAGTGTCAGACATGGAACCAAACGACTTACCCATCTCCTCACCTCACGAACCCCACATTCGATTAAAAGACGAACACCAGTGATGAAGAAACAGTTATCAATTATTTAATGCTTGATAGAGGAATGGAAATAAACCACGAAACCAAGTATTATACACTCACTTGAGGAGAATACAGCATAGGGACCCACCGATTTTGTTTTACTAATGAAATGAGATGTGTCCCCCTCCCCCCGTTGGCTGGCGGGGGTTGTACAGTACAGTTCCCCAGACAACTCTCAGCACAGGCGGGTGGGGAGGTAGGATGAAGACGGTGAGCTCTAGAGACTGTCCAAGAGTGTCTGCTGTGACGATGTCAGCCTTTGTATGTTTATCCCCCTTCCTGTGCTCTGGCACACTTCCAATCCATAAGCGCCTTTAAAGGGCAAGCAACTTCCAGACCAAAGTCTTCAACATCAGCCAACTAGGGTCAATCCATTCTCTTGTCACAGCCGCAATTAGAGATGGCACCAAACCCCCAGAGCCGAGAGGTGCTGCTCCCCAGAGGGACTGTGCCTCTCCCTTGGTGGCACTAAATGAATGAGCTTTAGCACTGGTACAGGTGATCAGACCTGGGACATCGTGCCACAGGAGGTGATGTCTGAAATGTCACTGGAGATGGAGTAGATGCCACTGGAGCTCCACACTCAGTGCAGCAGAGCTGAAGAGAAAGTGTCACAGATGAAACGCACTATAAAAGCAGGGAAATAACGGACCAGGGTCTTCAAAGCCGGGAGAGGAAAATCAACAAGGGTCACTCGATACAAGGGCGGATTTCAATACAGGGCAGAGGCTCTCCACTGAGGCCTCGGAAGTGCCTACGTTCCCACCAAAGTCAGCTAATCCCAGCATGAGTCTTGTTTGAGGCAACGCATCAAAAAGCTCTACATTTAGGGGGGAAATAATGCAAACAAAAAACCTAAAGGAGCTTCTAAAACGCTACAACTAGCCAGCTGGAATGAGGACAGAGGCCGGTCTACTCTCACGGACCACCAACCACCAAGGAGTGGGGGAAGGGAAGTCGGCTGGGGTCCAGAAGCTCACGGTCTCATTCCCTAAGGGGTGGAATATCTTCTCAGGTGGTAGCTGTAAATCTTGATGCAATGATCCCAACAGTCCAAGACCAGCAGCTGCCCCTTAGGGGTGAGGGCGATGCCCACCGGACAGGTAAGCCCCTCTCGAATAAGGACACTGTAGCCCCCTCCCTTAGGAAAGTGGAGAATTTCCTTGCGACTACTGTCAGCCACGATGAGGTCGCCACGGGCATCCACACACATGCCCGCGATGCAGCGGAAGTCCTCATTCTCCGAGAAGAAGTGGCTAATCTGGCGACCCAGCTGCCCATCAGAGCCCACAGAGCCAATGGAGAAGCCGCCCTCCAGGTGGTGCTCATTCTGCCGATTCTCCAGATTGAGGCCCAAGCCCTGGGTGAAGTAGACGGTGCCCTCAGCATCACAGGTGACAAATTTGGGGCGTACGGCACTGCAGAGGCAGCTGTACTTGACCACCCCTGCTCCTCGGTCAACAGTGAAGCACCAGAGCTTCCCACCTTCCACGTCAGTCACCACGAACTGGCCGGACGGAAGGGCTGTGATGCCCCAGGGTTTGCTCAGCTGGCTCCTATGACACGCCACACAGTGGCCATCCAGGGTGTACACCTTGAGGGAGTTGTCATAGCTGTCAGTCACACCGATCAGTCCGTGGCAGTTCATGGCCACTGAGAGAGGCGTGAGGTTGGGCAGATCGGCCCCGAGGAAGCTGAGCACGAAGCTGTCAATGCCACTGGGGCTGCGGCGGATCTCCTTCAGGAAGCCTTTGCGGGTGAAGACTTGTATCCGGTAGTTGCCACGGTCAGCGACCAGCACCTCGCCCTGGCTGGTCACGTACAGGCTGACTGGGAGGTTGAACATGCCTGGCGTGCTGCCCTTGGCACCCATCTTCTTGAGAAAGACACACTGCTGGATGCTGGCGGCCGTCTCGGAACCCCGCTGCTTAGCAGGTGAGGCCCTGGGGCTGGCAACCACTTCCTCGGGGCTCATGTCCATCTCGCGAAATGTAACAGAGGTAGAGGCCGCGGAGGCTGCAGCCTCCATGGCCCAGGAATCTTCCATGTTGACTGTCCGGGGCTTCTTCACAGCCTGCCCGATTTGGAGGGGGCCCACGTGGCCGACCTTGAGGAGCTCCACGTCCTGCAGGGTTAGCTCCCGGGGCAGGCTGGCCGTGAGCTCGGGCTCCTCCTCGTCGGCCGTCTCCTCCAGCAGCGCCACGTCTGCCTGCTTGATCTTGGCCAGGAAGTAGTCGCAGCGGGACACCGCCTGCACCTCCGCGATGTTGAGCAGGTAGCTCTGCTCCTCCACCGCCTGACTGTTGCCTTTCTCGGCCTCGGCCAGAGAGCCCGTGAAGAACTTGCGGGAGCGAGCCAGCTCCTCCTGCACCCTGCGCTCCTCGTGCCCGTACTCCTGCAGGACGGCTTTGTACCTGGCCTGGAGGTCCTTGGACACGCCTTCCAAGGCCACCTTCCGCCGCTGCAGCTCCCCCACCAGTTCCCGCAGATGGGCCAACTTCTGGCCGAACTCCCGCCGCCGCTCCTCGGCTGCCTCTTTCACGGGGAGCGTGCAGTGGCCAGGAGGCTGGTGGTCTGCCTCGCGGCAGGGCTCACACAGCACCACGCCGCAGGTCCGGCAGAACTGCCGGGGCAACCGCCGCCCGCAGGAGCGGCACAGGAGCAGCCCCACCGCCTCGCTGAGCCCCGCCGTGTCGATGATCTTCAGCACCGTCAGGTTGTCCGTCAGCTGCGTCAGGCTGGTTATGCGGGTGATCTTGCTGCAGAACGGGCAGCGGACACCATTGATGCTACTGGCCAGCAGCTTCTCCAGGCACTGGCGGCAGATGGTGTGGCCGCAGTGCAGGAGCTTGGGCCGCAGCTGCTCCTCCGAGAAGGACTCCATGCAGATGGGGCATTCCAGCACTTCCCGGAGGGCGTCCAGGTTCAGGTGCGAAGCCGCCGCCGCCGTGGCCATTGCTCTTCCTTTGAAGGGTCCCGCTAGCACAGCCCAGAACGGGACAGCTTACTGGTCATGCTCCATAAGGTCAAACTCTGCTGAAGAGAAAAAGAAGCCATTATCCCATTGTCTGTAGAAGTGAATTCACTCAAGAAACATTTAGAGAATAGCTACCATCTCTCATCCAGTCATTCACTTATTTAACAAATATTTACTGAAGTCCACTCTCTGTTAGGTGAGGGTGACTCACAGGGAAACCAGCCAGACAGGCCATCGCACAGTGGGTAAGACTCAGGTCCTGGAGTTTCTGATACTTGGTTGTGTGGCCCAAAGCTCAGTTTCCCCATCACCCATTTATGAACCTGAAATAATAACGGTGCCTACTTTATACGGTTTTGGGAAAGGTTAAAGAACATAATGAATATGATCCATTTAGTACAGCACCTGACTAGTATCTTGATAAATGTTGGTGACCAATTTATTCTCTGCCTACAACTCATGATTTATAATAGGAGAAAAGCACAGAAAAATGACGTACAGAGAAGGATTACACACCAAGTTCTGCCAGAGCCTCCTGAGATATGTCATGAAATACACGAGGCAACGAGAGATAAAAGCATTAAGCAAAGAAAACTGTGTGAGCAAAAGCATGGAGGCCTTTTTATCGTGTTATCTGGAGTTTACTGTGTCATGTTTGGGAGCCTTGGAATCACCCAGAGAAATAGAAAATTATGATGATTAGCAGAACATTAGATCAGTAAAATACATGTATTTTCCACTCATCTATCATCCTAACTACTGACCTCTCCACCTAAGACTAGGTACCATGGACTGTATTAGATACTAAGGTTTTCTGGATACAAGTTTTGACCTTCAGAGGCTAAAACTTGAAGAAGGGAGACAGAATACAGGTAAATAACCATCAGGGCCGAAAGCCGTATCATACATGAGATCTAAACTAAGTTTGATGGAGGCTGACAGCTATTCACTCAAATCTGAAGGCAAAGGGGACTTTCCTAAGGGGAGATGGCATTTGCTGGGACCTGGAAGGACGCAGATAGGTGGAGACGGGGAGAAGGACTCAGGCAGAGCGCACAGTCTTAAGAAAGGCTGGAAAGCATGGGGAAGGCCAGAACTTCAGTGAGTTTGAGAGAGAACAGAGAACACATAGCCTCTCCGGGTCTGTCTCTTCATCTCTCCTGCCTGCACGAGGCCAATGTGAGCATTAAGTGAGATACTATATGTAGTCCATAACATGCAGTGACTTGACTCAGCACCAAAAAGGTCTTAAATATATTTGTTTTCTTTCCTCTCATCCTTAGGTTAAAATTGTGGGCGAATACAGGGGATTTGTACTAACTGGTTTGGAAACTGGGAACGGTTATAAGAAGCCTTTACAGCCCAGACGAGCATTCGCACTTCATTCTGATGGGCACAGTGAAGCGACGCATGCTTTGGAGCAGGGAACTGCTGTGAGCAAAGTTCGATGGGGGGGGAAGGGCAGAGGAACAAGTTTGGAAGCTAAGCCAAGTGCTGGCGGAAGAGCTGGGGAGCCTGAAGTAGCGAGCAGGTGTTGCAAATGGAAAGAAGACACATGTGAGCAATATTCCAGAAGTACAGTCACTAAGATTTATAAACTGAGTGGATGAGGGTGGGGAAGTGTGGAGCTCTGACAGCCAGAGACTCGAGCCCAGATGATTTAAAAGTGGCGGTGCTTGATCGAGACAGTTTATTTTAGGCTCGGAACACCCCTGCTTCACGCAGAACATGCCACGAATACTCCCGCCCTCCTGGATCCACATATGCTCACGAGGTAGAAGCACAGAATCTCTGCTCTGCAGCCTTACATCATTGTCAATTTACACTCCAAATTAGAATGAATAGATTTAGCAAGGTGACGCATGTGGATAAATTCGTCTCTTCTTAAAGGCAAACCCTACAGCTGTACCCGAGTCTCACAATGGGCAGATGGTAGCCAGCGAGGAGGAGGAGGAGGAGGAGGAGGAGGAGGAGGAGGAGGAGGAGGAGGAGGAGGAGGAGGAGTGGTGCTTGGTTTTGAGGACAATGTGGCAAGCTGAGGAAAGCTTTGTAAATGTCATCGACTCTTTCTGCAGGCATACGGAAGGGGAGTCTATGCAGATACATATTACAAATCTCCCCATATCTAGCTTTGGATTGCAATCTGACAGATTCAGCAGCAGCAGACATGCACAATGGATCTGATGTCCATCCCACCTCCCTGCAATCTATTTCTCTCTTACTGGACAGGAAACAGTATACATCTAGTACCTACTCCCTGCTAGGTGCCATGCTAACTGCTTCAGATAATCTCACTTAATCCTCACAAGGGCCCTTGGAAGTAGGTACTGTTCTTATTATCCTATTTTACAGAGAAGGAAACGGAGGCTCAGAAAACTGGTTCAAGGTCACATAGCTCAAACATGGTGGAACCCTGCAGAACAAATTTTTAACTTTGCTTAACTCAGCATGACTTCAAGCTATATTTTTTAACTGCCATATAACACTTTTTAACAAATATTTTCTAGACCATACCTTGGGAAATGTAGCCTTACAGCATATAATTTTCTCCACAAGGAAGAAGGAACAACAATATGATGAGATTTAGCTGCTGTCGTGTGATTTATAAGCTGAGTGACCCACACCCACTCAGCAGCCTTGGGACCTGTTGCCACTCAAATCCATGCCTCAGCAGAGGAGCACACTACCACCTACCATGAACCTGAAGGTTCCATGTAAATATCTGAAACTATGGATGCTCAGGTCTGAAATGCCATGGGTCTGGGGGCAACTGCACAGAAGAACTGACAGAACCTGAACTCAGGAGCCATGCAGACTTTCTCAGTCCAAACCAGCAAAATAGTGTCAGTCCTCCCATCGCCTGGGACGACAGATTGAGGGCGACAGGTGGTGTTTGGAGCCAGAGCATGTTACCTGACAAAGCGCAGGGACATCTGTGCTGCTAGAGCGGGTGCTGCAGATCAGCTAATGAAACGAGTCTGCCAAATTATAAGAATACCAACAAATTCTGTCCCTACATTTCTGGAATACGATACCACTTCCTTCCATTAAAAAGCTTCCTGCCTGCCTGTCTGAGCTATCCACTTTTAAAAATGAACTCACTGTGTGCACGTCTGTAATCTCAGCTGTCTGCACCTTGGCTGGGCTCTCTGAGGCAGAAGACGGTGTCGGGGATTCCTTCCCCAAAGCTCTCATGCGTTGCGAAGGGAACGTGAGTTCCCATCACTAAAGCATCGGGCACGGGGACAGCCTCAGCCCTGGGGCAGGCCTGAACCAGGTCTCCCGCTTCTATGACTCGGGAATTCAGGATCCTAGCCTTCATGGAGCTACGTGACAGACAGATACAGCCCCTCTCCTCCAGAAGAGGACATCTGGGCCTTATTGTTTACACTGAAAACGAGTCCGATGGAAACTCCATTACTACTTAGTTTCCACGGAAAGACTAGATGGGTGGAAGGAACTGTCTTTCCACCCCAGGTCTTTAAGTTAGCTCCCCGATTTTCTGCCAGCTCTAAAATCGAAAACCAGAGTGAACCCCCATGTCATTTATCATCTTGGCTGCCTTCGGGAAACTTCGAACATGTTTCCTGTTCACGTTGGACTGTTAACTCCTGACCCCTCAGCTCATCTCCCTCAGTTCACCCCATTCTGTGATCTCATGGCTAATGCCACACACCCCATCTGACGCTAGCCCAGCTCCCACGCTCCAGGTGAGAACTGAAAATGTGAGCAGGAAAATGTTGTCGTCATGCCGCAGTCTGATCTAGCCTCCGGCACCATCTGGTTTTCCCCAGTCATGACAAATAACCAGAGTAGCAGGAAAAAACAAAAAACAAACACTCATGAAGTCAGACAGACCTGGGGTCAAATGAACACTGTCATTTCCAAGTTGTGGGACAGTAGGCAAGTTATTCAACGCCACCAAATATGTTACCTTATTTTATAAAAAAGCTACTATGACAACTAGGGATAATGCATATGAAGTGTTTAGCCTGGAAACAGGTAGGCAGGCAATGAAAGAGGGTTACCAAAATTACAATAAATAGCAATCAGGAACAGTATCAACAGTAATAACTAATGCTAGTATTAACAAAATAATCCGTTTACAGACTTTATTTTGAAAGGATGAAGAATCGTTCCTTTCATGGCATAAAGAGATTAAGAAAAGGACTGGTCAGCTTCGAAGGACTCCTGACTGAGGACTCTCAACAGCCTTGCGAGAAACTTCTGGGCAAGTGAATTCGCAAGTTGTCTTGCTCAGAAAACAAGCTGTGCAGCTCATTCTTGCAGGGACTAAGTATGGAAAGCTATAATTACTAGCGATCTCACAGCGACGGAGATGAGGAAACTGAGAACAGGGCAGAGAAAGCGAGACCTCATTAACCACATGGCGGAACCGGGGCCAGCAGGTGCAGGAAGCAGGCCCGCCTAGACGTGGATCCCCGCTCGAGGAGACCTGGGCTAGTCACCGAACCTCTCTAGTTCTCAGCTTGTCTAAGAAAAAGGGCTTCAAAACAGTGTTTTCATCACGGGGTTGTTGTAAAAATTAAATGAGATTACGTGTATGAAGCTCTTAGTACAGTACCAGGTGAGGTAGGCAGTGAACTGTGCAGTAAATAATAGTTGTTAGAAGTGGCAACGGCAGCCACACAGCAGCCAATGAGAAATGAACAGGCACTTTCAACCGGCAGACCATCCCCAAGATATCAGACCCATACATTTCAAAAATAAACATTCTGAGCCTTCCTTGGGGATTGTTTTACCTGATCTCAGAATCAGAAGATTAAAGGTGACCTGAGGTTTCACATCTCCATCCAATGCTTGAATTCCCACCATGGGGTAGATTTCTAGATGCTTCTATTTGCCATACTTCCTTTTTTTTCAAATGTTTTCATTGATTTTTATTTTATTTTATTTTTTTTAGAGAGAGACAGAAACATCGATGTGAAAGAGAAACATCAATCAGCTGCCTCCTGCACGCCCCCTACTAGGGATCGAGCCCGCAACCCAGGCATGTGCCCTGTCCGGGAATCGAACTGGGACCTCTCAGTCCATGGGATGATGCTCAATCCACTGAGCCACACCGGCTGGGCTAATTCTACCAGCCCCTTGGGGTCTTAGGCTAGGAGCAAACCTGGAGAACTTGAAGCAATTAAACAAATCTTTACTGAGTACCCACTATGAGTCAAGCCCCATGAAAACACTGGAGATATAATTTTGAGCAAAAACAGACATGAACAGAGCTCTCCACCTAAAAACTAGGAAAAATGTCAAGTATTACATTTCTTTTCTCCAGACACAAAGGTCTACCCTACTCCCGACACATTGTCCTGGTTTGACTTCCAGACACACTGCCCCGGTTTGACTGGGTGTTTTGCAAGGCTTATCACATTTCCCTTCATGACAGCTTTCCAAACTGCACTTATTCCTCCTGCATTTGAATGGAATGGCAATCAAGTGCACAACCATCTCCAGGCCACCGACGGCCACTCTCTGGGAGTGGCTAGCAGTCCTGATGTTAAGGAAGTCAGTGAGGTCCCCACCTGACACCCTGTCCAGTGTGGGAGAGGGGCGTTAAGTTTATTTAGGACACTTGAGGCACCTGGTTAACAGCTAGGATAAACTCAGCGAGTAGGGGCGTATATGGAAACACAGGGCTGACGTCAAAGCTGTACCAGTCTAGGACACTTAAAACCCAGAATCCTTGTCTGTTCTCTGTCCTCCCTCTAAACTTGAAGGATCTAGAAAGGTTCCCTTGCATCTTCCACAAAGATTCGATACTATCAATGCTGCCGATGTGACTCAAAGAATATAGGACAAGGGGGGAAAATAATCAATGGTCTTTTCTCAGGGGACCCCAACTCATCTTGACCCACTCAACTCTCTTTCAGTTCCTTTCTCTGCACATAACAAATGTTCATTTAATCATAAAACTTAGAGTAAAAGGTTCAGGAAGCAGGTCCTGGGAAAGGTATAAGAGGGGATGGGAGTTTGGGGGAGCTGGGGGCTATTGAGGGTCACTGAAATTTGGCGAAGCAACATTCAGTTCCCTTCCAGCATTCCCTTCCTCTCATAGAGCTACCATGTACTGCATGCCAGGCACCATTTGTACAAATCTTATTCTCATAATAATGTGTTACTCCTCTTTATAAATAAGGAAACCAAGGCTCCGAGAAAAGCAATCTGGCCAAGGTCTCAAAGCTGATAAATAGTAGAACTGAAGTTCAAATCCCAGTATGTCCACTCCCAGCCATAAAACCACATGGACTGGAAAGATGTCACAGCTCCCGAGCTGATTAGGCTGCAGGCAGTCTGGCCGAGAGGCTGGTAAATGCACCTAGGAAGGATTTCCAAACCGGATTGCTCAACCAGAAGCACATCGTGGAGGGCGTGTCTAGAGGCAACACATCAGTGTGTGTGGACAGTGATCCCCTTCAAGGGCCTTATTAACTTCTGACCACCAGCCACTCTCCATCGTAAGTGCGTGTGGATTCTTTAGTGCTGGAAAAGGCTTTCTAGTAAAACTAGTATAATGGAACTTAGGAGTCAGACAGAACCAGGCTTGCATCCCTGCTTTGCCATTTACTCCTTTGCCTTGGTGAATCACTAATACTTTTCTCATCTATGAAATGGGGAATGACATGATGATTGGTCAGACCCCTGACAGGATTAATAGAGATAATGCACATTATAAGCATGCAATAAATGGTAGCTATTTGTTTTAAAAATAGGTTGAAGCTAGTAAGGGCAAGCTTGCCCAAGATCACTCAGTAAATTGGCAGCAGAGGAAGGATTTTGGACTTCAAGCCTCTGATTTCCAGGTTGATTCAATTTCCTTTACATATTGTCCTTACGGGTGTGTGTGAATAGTCCAGCTAAGACTCTTGCCTTCAGTTCCAATCCTACTAGGTTTCTGAATGGGTTTCCGCAATGCTATAGCTAGTCCCGGGGCTGATAGAGCAAATGTTGTATTCTGTCCCGGGGAAAGAAGCCCAAAAGAGATCAGTCAGAACAACCATTATGACTGTCTTCACCCCCAGTCCATGCTGTGAGGTATTTTTTCAAGCCAGTGACCTGCACACCTCATCTTCTAGTACCTCATCCTGTCTACTAACCTAGAGCTCCTCCCCGTATCTATCCATGGGTCCTGGTCTGAGAGCAAATCAACAACAAAGTTCAGGGCTACTCCCTACCTAATTAAATAGATGTATCCCCTGTAGAGTTCAATTTGATATTCAGAAATACCCACTGGGCTACCCTTTCATAGGGGAATCAGCTGAGATAATAAGACGAAGCAGGTCCAGCGAGGACAAAGCAAGGAATGGGGGAAATGCAGACACAGAGATCTGAGTCGGAGCCTAGCCCAGCCACTCCTAGCTACAGAACCTCAGACAAGTCACTTCCTATGCTTTTGTTTCCTTAGGTATAAAACTGGATACATGTACAGTAGAGCCTACTTAGTAAGGCCTTTAAGAAGACTACGTCAGGATCAATATCACCAAGTGAGGAAGCGACAGAGCCAGGATTTGAATCCAGGGCACCCCACTCTACAGCAGGGGGCCTCAACTCTGGCACTGTTGATATTGGGATAGATAATTCTTTAATGTGGGGGCTGTCCAGTGCAGTGAAGGATGTTTAACCATGCCCCTGGGGTCTACCCACGAGAGGCTAGTAGTACCCCTCACCCCAACAGTGACAACCAAAAATGTCTCCAGACATTGCCAACGGTCCCCTAGGGGACAACACTGCCCCGGGGAAAAACCACTGCTGCAGACCTTGGTACAGGACTAAATGCTCCATACGAATGCATTCCCCTCAGCTCTCTCCCAGCCCGAACACTTCATGCACAGAGCCACCACCTCTTCGAGCTGTTATAGACCTTATGTAGGATTAATTCAACCTCCTTATTTAACTGATGAGGAATGTAAGGCCTGAGATCACGTTCCACTCATTCCTGGAGGGCTCACATCCTATCCACTACCTCAGCTTGGAGGGACAGGCAAAGGGAGCTCAGGCAGATGACCTTGAAGTTTCCTGCTTCAGGCCCCCTGACCACTCTTCTCCCCCAGTGCTACCACCACTTTGAGCGAGTTGGGCTCACAGTCAAGTTGGTGGCAGTACCGTGGCTGTCCCGTGAAAAGGGATCTTGGATGAATGAGCTGGGGAGAGTCAGCCTCTTGGAGAAAGTCGGGCTCCTTCAGGATGGAGGACTTGGTTGCTAAGCCCCCGAATGCTGCTCAACTTCCTACCCTCATGGTTCCCGTGTCTTCTGGGTCCTCCAGCCCCCAGAGCCCTCTTTTGCTCCCCATGCAGACTTCCGGAAAACTCCTTCAGCAGCCTTCACACCAGCTCACAGATCTATTCTGAGTACTTTACTTCCACAGCCGGGTGATGACATGTACCCCTCCATCGGTCCACCCCCAATCCAGCTGTCAACCCTCCCACAAGTACAGAATCCAAGTTTTTAGGGCTCCAAATTGCAACCCTCACCAATTCTTCCCGCTCTGCCCCAAATCCCTGGCACAGATCCTTCCACCTGTTTTCATCTCTGCAGCCCTCTACTCTGCACCCCAGCTTAGCACCCCAATCTCACGCCTCAGACTCCTGCCCCCCCAATCTGATTCAGTTCCCTCGGGCACTGTGCGCCCTCAAACCTGAGCCTTCTTTACCCACCCCCACCCTTATCATGTGTTGTCACCAAACCTTCACCAGGTCCCTTTCTGCAAACAAGACTCTGCTTCCCACTGATGCCCCCAGAACTCCCCCATCAGTTTTCCCCAGATCCCACCCAGAAAAGGCGCCTTCCTTGTCAATTCCGAGACCCTACCCCTGCTCCCTCTGGTCTCAGATCTTGCAGCCCCAAATTCCTAGCGCCCCCGGATTTCCTCAAATCTCTTTAGATTCTGCACCCCAGGTGTCATCAGATCGCCCCGATTTCCTTCCTATTCTCGAAATTTTTTCACCCTGACCCCTCAAGGGCCTTCGGATCGCCTCCGATCGCCCAGATGCTGCACCCCGTCTCTCCTCGGGGCCCCCACAAACCGCATACCTCCCAACGTGCTGCACCGCGAAGCTCCTCGGGGCCCCTCGCTCCCCGCCCGGAGCTGCATGTCCTCCGATCCCTCAGTCCCATCAAAGCGCTCCCGCGCCTGCCCCCTCACAGCCCCACCCCCACCCTGGTCCTGCCCCTCAGATCCGGTCCCGGCCCCTGCCGTTCGAGCGTGGGACGGCCGCTGGACAGCCCCCACACCCCGCCGCTCACCCACAGCCCGTGGCTCCCGCAGTGGTCCCTGCTCCCGGACCCTCCTTCCCGCCCCCTACCTGACCGCCCGGGGCTCCGACGCGTCAACCGCCTCCAGCCCACCCACCCGCTGCCCTCTGCGCACGCGCCGCAGCGACTCCCTTGGCGGGCTCCAATTCGCAGAGCCGTCTGTCTGTTACTGGAGCCCGCTTCCTGAGGCATGCTGGGGCTTGTAGTCCGCCCGGCCCGAGGGCTCCCGGTAGGGCAAGCTCTCGGCTGAGAACTGTGGACCTAGGCAGTACGTAGTTGAGCTTTCTGTCTCCTTTGTAGAGGCAGCGGAACCGAGGCGGAAGGGGCCCGCCTAAGTTCGCTCAGAGAGTCTGTGTCTTAACCCCTTCGCTAAACCGTGGCCTCCAGGACTGGTCCCCAACACAGCCATGGCACCTCTCTGAACCTCAGCTTTCCCTTCTGAGAAATGGGCAGAGGGAAGACTACAAAGACTACAGCTTCCACGCTGGGGCAAGTATGATCCGGAACTAGCCTTAGAAAGGGAGTGCTTCTGGGCCCCTGCTTCTCCCTGTGACACATCAAAGCCTGCGGACAGGTGTATCTGATGAATACATTGCTCTTTGGAAGGAGCCTTTTCCTGCTCCGTTAGGAGGCATCCTTGGGTCAATGTAAGACACATTCAAACCGATAGGGAATTTTTGTGAGTTCATTTGAGCCAAACTATCGACTATTACTGGGAAGCAAAATCTCAACAGATTGAGTTTATGCTCCAGAGAATGGCCGATTTGCGCCTTATTTTATACATGACAGTAAAAAGAGAGGACACAAGTGTGTTCATGAAGACCACTGGTCTATCATTAGGGAGGTGGGAGAAGGAGGTAGGGGCGGACCTCTGGGATTGGATGAAAAGTAAAATGATAGCCACATACACCTCTTACTTAGGTTGGTGCAGGATATAGTTAACAGTCAACAATTAACATGATAACAACAATGGAAGGATTTATGGTTTCCACCCTGGTTCATTGGTTGTGCCCTGAGGGGACTGGAGAAAGGGGAGTTATGGTAGATGGAAAGACCATAGGCTTAGGGAAGAGATTGATTTTGTCAGGGAAGATTCTAGCCTAGGACACAACTACCTGCCATAAGCTGCTTTTAGTTATAAAGCGTTCATGTCAGACCCTCCTTTGTGGTCACTTTAGGTCTCTGATTGCGAGGCTGCCACGCAGGCCCTCCCTGAGCTTGTCAGGTTAGCATGTGCCCCCCCCCCCCTTTTTTTCTATCCTCACCCGAGGACATTTTTCCATTTTTTGTTCAGAGTAGAGCTGGAGGGAGAGAGAGGAAGAGAGAAAGAGAGAGAGAAACATCGATGTGAAAGGGACACATCGAGTGGCTGCCACCCACACGACCAACCAGGGTAGGGGACAAACTGCAACCGAGGTACATGCCCTTAGCGGGAACCGAACCTGGGTCTCTCTGTACCGCAGGCCGACGCTCCAACCGCTGAGCCAAACCGGCCAGGGCTAGCATGTGCCCCTTTTCGTCCACACTTGGCAGAGGTGGTGTGGGAGCGCACTGTATGTAGTTCCTGACCCTGCAGACTGAAGCTACCCAGCAACCCAAACCCAAGTCTAGCTTTGGAGTAGCTGGGAGTCTTCCCCGGGTGGGAGGTAGTCTGGCATACTGGCTAGGGAGGACCCCGACCCCTCAGTTTTGGGTCAGTTACTGGTTTCCACAGGTGACCAGTTTAGCTTTAGGATTAAGAAGGAGTTTGACATAGAATGGGCTGGGACTTGAAATCCCCCGTAAGTGTGTGACCCTGCACAACGATAAAACAACAAACAAAAACACTGACAAAACTAACACTCCACATACATGGTTCACTTCATCCTCATAAAGCCACTGTGAGATGAGCACCTGATGCCCAGGTGATTAAAGGACAAAGCCACATGTTCATAAGTATAAAGCCTGATCAGAACCCAGTTCTACTTGAGAATCCACCCTCTTAACCTTGTTTAGTCTCTCTGCCCATTTCTTCATCTCTAAATGGATATGAGGTTTGCTATGACTAAGATTATTAATATATTAGTGGTTTATATTTAATTAATGGTGTATATATTTAATTAATGGTAAATATACAGGGGTTGGCAAAAGTAGGTTTACAGTTGTGAGCACACCAAACACAGAGCTTAATATTGTATTGTAATTAATTAATTATTGTATTATTTTCCATACAAACAACTGTAAACCTACTTTTGCCCACCTCTGCAAATATACTATAATCAGCTCTTACACTCTCCAGACGCTGGTTCCAGAAGCCCCAGCTCCCAGCATTTCAGATATTGAGGGCAGCGGGAGGTAGGGTTGGTATACTTCATGGCATCCTTTGAGCAGGCCTGGGGGCTCTGTGCACTTGGGTTGGTGCATGGAGCTCTGGGCCCATCTGAGATTTCAAGGATATGCGTGCAGTCCAGGGCCAACCAGGCTTTGACCGAACAGGCCAGGAGTGGGGGGAAGAGGGAGCTCAGTCAGGGACTGAAAGGCCCTGGGGCAGGTTTTGCTCAAAAGTAGCAGAGACAGTGGGTGCAGACAGAACCTCGCAGGGCCAGGAAGCAGGGTGCTTGTTTCTCCCACTTCTCTGGGCTCCTGGGAACTGCGAGGCGCTCAGGGCACGCTCAGCAAGTACCAGGACTCGTAGCTTGACGATTTCTCACAAAGCACATGGCTTGGGCTTTGATTCTCGGCTCCCTTTCGATCTTCACCAGTGGACTGAGTTCCCTGACGGACAGTGCCCATAACAGTTGCTGAATGAGTGAGACTCAAAAATGTGACCTTTGGAATCACATTCCCTGTCTGATCTAGAGTTCTTCTAGCTGCAGAATAACTCGGTGGGGTCACTGGGTAAGGACCATTTTCTGCATCCCAGCAATATACCAGGTACTTCCACAGGTATTGTCACAGGTCAGAATTAGCCCTCTCAACAAGTGACTTAAGTAGATATCAGTGGCTTTATTTGACAAAAGAGGCAGCTGAGGTTCAGCAGGATTACCTGGCTCAGGTGCAGTTGCGGCCTGGGAAGTGGTAGGGCTGGGCACGAACCCAGGGTAGTCAGGCTTTTGACGTGCTCCGAGCCACCACTTAAAGACTACCCACATTTTACAGCACCAGCTCTCTTCTTATTGAGTAAAGTGTGTTGGTAAGACTCAGAAGAGAGAAGAGATGACAATGCTTAGGAACTCAAGGAATATGGGTCAGCTCACAGCTGCCATTACATCTGTAGAGCATGATCCTGCCGAGGCAAAGACACTCACGTGAGCTGTTCTCGCAGTGTCACCAGAGAAGAGCAGGGGTGGCCCCCTGCCCCGGGTTTCTGCCATGTAGGAGACTCAATGTGCCTGGTTTCCCCAGCTGCTCTTCTCCCAGCCTCCGTTTTACAGGGGGGGAGATGGGAGGGTTGCTATGGAATATTTTCTTCCCAGCCTGGAGACCTTATTCATACTCTCTTCTCAGACCAGGTGGGGCGTGTGCACCCCGTTTGCTGAAAATCACGGTGACTAGCGCAGTGTCTCCATTCAGGATTGATGATATTTTTATACTGATGCTCCCCCAACCACAGAGTGGAGCCGAGGGTGTTTCTAATAGTCTGAGGATGTAGTTCAAGCATGCTTTTAAACAATAAGGACAACCACCACAACAATAAAGTCTTTCTTTCTTTCTTTCTTTCTTTTTTCCTTTATTGATTTTTGAGAGAGAGGAAGGGAGAGGGAGAGAGAGATAGAAACATTGATAAGAGAAAACATTGATTGGCCACCTCCTGCATGCCCCTACTGGGGATCGGGCCCACAACCAGGGCATGTGCCCTGACCGGGAATTGAACCAGTGACCTCTTGGTGCGTGGGTCTATGCTCAACCACTGAGCCACTCTGGCCAGACAAGTATTTTCTTTTCTTTTTAAAAATTGTGTTTGACTATCTTTTTTTAACATTTAAATTATTTACCAGGTACATTAATTACCATACACAAAATCTCAGTAAAATAAACACCCTAGGAAAATGCAGTCATTTTAAGTGTGTGGCTTTGCATACCCTGGTACAATGTTAGCATTCCTCACACACGAAACAATTTAAAAATACTCTTCGTGGAGCACTTTAAGTCAGATGTACCTCAGAGATATTGTGGGTCCGCTTCCGGATCCCTGCAATAAAGCGAATAGCACAACAAAGTGAGCCATAGGACTTTTTATGGTTTCCCAATTAGTTTATGTAACCCTATACTAGCATTACGTGTTATTTATTTAAATATAAATATATAATCAAATATCGGCAGAGTAGGTGCTAGATAAATGCTAGTAGCATTGAAGGCTCGCCCAGAAAAATGCTTCACTGCTAACCATCATCTGAGCCTTCGGTGAGTCATTATTATAATAGTAGCATCAAAGATCACTGATCACAGATCATCATGACAAATATAATAATTGAAAGCTGGAAATATTGCGAAGAATTACCAAAATGTGACACAGAGACACACAGTAAGCAAATGCTTTTGGAAAAATGGTGCTCATAGGCTTGCGTCAATGCAGGGTCATGAGAAACCTTTAATGTGTACAAGAACACAGTATCTGCAAAGCATGTTAAAGCAGAAGCAATAAAATGAGGTATGGCCCTGGCTGGTTTGGCTCAGTGGTTAGAGCGCCGGCCTGCGGTCCAGAGAGATGTGGGTTTGGTTCCCGCTAAGAGCATGTACCTTGGTTGTAGTTTGTCCCCGAGCCTGTTTGGGTCTGTGTGGGTGGTGGCCACTCGATGTGTCCCTTTCACGTCGATGTTTCTCTCTCTCTCCCTCCCACTCTCTCTGAACAAAAAATGGAAGAATGTCCTCGGGTAAGGATAAAAATAAATAAATAAATAAATAAATAAATAAATAAATAAATAAATAAAATGAGGTATGCAGGTCATCTGTTCAGCATTTGAATATAATGGCTTTTCATTTAACATTTAAACCACCTGTATCAGTTTCTTAGGACTATCATAACACAGCGTCATAAACTGGTAGTATAAAACAAGAGAAATATTCTGTCACAGCTCTGGAGGCTAGAAGTCTGAAATCAAGGTGTCAGTGTGGCCATGCTGTCCCTGAAATCT